ATCACTGGTGATAGGGGAGTGTAACCGATAAATTGATCCTGAATCAGATAAGATTTTCCAAGGACGTATAACTAACACAATACGTCCTTGGATTTTCCCAGTAACGGAGAACCCCTTTCTTTGAGTGAATATAAATAGTGACGGGGGTCTCACAAAAAATTTAAATCTGAATTACAGGAACATCGATTAGCAAAGTAAACTTACATATTAATCTCGAAGTTATTTACGGTAAAGACAGACTGTGCTCCTGAATTAAGGTATTATACATTTGTGTATTTTACTGGGGGGGAGGGGGGGTGGGGGGGGGGCACTTCCTATATACAAGGTGATATGAATTTTTCCAGCTTGAAAATATGGGAATAGGTGGGGAAAACTATCAGAAATATATGATAAGGTCGATAAAGTTCCAATTACTTGTATATGAAAAGCCCTGTCATTTTTTCACAGCCGAAAGTCTCGCCGTAAGTAAACATTACATACAGAATCTTAGCCTTAAATATTCCACTTTTCCAACACACCCCACGAAAACCAACCAATATGGGAAAAGGTTACAATTTTACCCTCGCAATATATGAAAAGGTATAATACATTTTTAAGATCTAAATTATATGAATAGGGTGGGGTAACAGAACCCCAGCGACACCCCCTATCAATTAAGTATTGAAGTGCCCCTCCCCCCCCCCCCCCGGAGGTATTTTACTGCTACAAGATATTTAAATTGCTAATCACGCAACCGTTGATGAGCAGAGAACCATACTTTCAAGCCAGGGGCAGTCTATACTAACAGTTAGTATAGAAAGACCCTGTAAAAAGGCAGGCAAATCCTAACAGTACTGTAACTTAATGATACATGTATATCAAGTTACAGCACCTCACCCAGCACAGTTAGCACACTGGTGTGTGTCAGTCTTATAATATAAAACTGCGTAGGTTCATATCGTTTGATTCAACGTTTTTTCGGATATTTTTTAGGACCGTTGTCAACTTGACATTGTCCGCGGCAAATCCGATCGCGACCTGCCACTTTGCAACCTGACCTGCAAAAACATAATTCGACTAAAAACAATGCCAGTCAAAATTGCTTTTTGAGACTGGGCGACTGAAAAAGTTTTAAAATGTGACCTTGTGACCTTACTTGGAATTCTTCATTCATCGGCGTGTGTCGGTTTGGCTAAAAAGGGGGCATTGTTTTTTTTTCTTGGGACAAAAAATTGTTTCTATCTCTATTAAAAAAAAAATTAAGACCAATCATAAACTTTTTTTTCAAAACTCAGTGTCGTATTTTATTGTTTTCCCAACAATTTTTAATAAAAGCTTGAAATGTTTGTTTCACTTCCCTCTGACTTCCCTCCTGATTTTTTTCTCAAGAAATTATAGAATTAGTAAATGGATATATATATATGTCTGTGGTCACCGTCATGCAGTTAGATAAGAAATTCCATCATGCATCATCAAATAATTCATGTGTATTTGTGACATCAACATAACTGAAACATTATATTATTTCTCAGTAATTATGTAAATCATTTTGATTTACAATTATGTATGTCTGGGACTTATGCATGTATATATCTCACAGGCACTTGTCTCAGAAAAAAAAATCCTATATACTTTAATAAAAGTATATAGGAAAAAAATTCTGATACAAGTGCCTGTGATATATCTGTCAGTCCCAGAATAATAAATATAATTGTATCTTAATCCTTGGGAAAATCCGATTATTAAATTGTTAAATTCTTTAACGTCATAATTATATCAAAGTTTACTTTTTAAAGTTTTAAATTTTAAAGTTAAAATGAATATTCCGTTTTGATCTGAGGAAAAACTTTTTAAACTGTAATGACATGGTCAGTCAACTGATTTGTTGCATGGCTGATTACAGGTAATTAAAGCATGCAGTAATTTTCCATCACGACAGTGCGTGTACCTGGGGTGTGTATAACGTATTAGAAATATCATAGTTTTCTAGAGAACATCCTGTCTATGTGTAATACAGATTGATGACATTACACAAATTTTTTTTCGTTAAATGTAGTTAAGTATCTGTGTCTATTCCCACACTACAATTCTTTCGAAGAAAAAAATGTTAAAATTAAAAAAAAAAAATCATTTATATAAAATAAAGAAGAAAAAAGTAGCAAATAAACTTATGTAACTACGCATTGAGTAAACATAATTTCACTTTACATGTACAAACCCTTGAGAAAACCGTATATAAAGATGTGTTTAAAAAGGCCAATTCCCAGTGGATTTATTTCACACTAGGACCACAGGCACTTGTCTCAGAATTTTGTTTCCTATATACCTTAATACAGGGACTTTCTATACTAACTTAGTATAGAAAGTCCCTGCTTAATATAACATTAAAAGTATATAGGACATTTTTTTTCTGAGACAAGTGCCTGTGACTAGGAACTAAGATAACTAGAACTAAGTTCATTGGAAAGTCTTTTTGTCTGATACATGTATACCTATAGATAAGTACATAATTAAGAACAGCTTCAAATATATGCCTGTAAATTAACGGTACGTCTAAAAACCGCTCAGGACCTCCTGAGTGCAGACAGGACATAAAAAGTCACTCAGGACATGTATATATGTTTTAGTGAGCGTTGAGGGTAAACATTCGATAGATAATTTAATATTTGATCTTATAATTTTGGTTTTGATAAAATCAAACCAACATTAAAGAAGTTATTTGGGATACGTCATGCATGACCGATGATCATATTCAATACCAATCATCATTTTGATTACAACGTTTGATCTTTAATAATTAGGACTGATTGGTGATGGTTATAAACACATACAAGTAAACTTTGCAAACAAACAAACAAAAAAAAAACGTTTCCTTGGAAAAAATATAAAAATACATGAATATTGTTTTTACAAAAAAAGTTAAATACATTTTTCATTTTGTATGTAATAATTGAAGCCATTTAGAAATATAAGAAATCTTCACATTGTCGGGAAATTTTCAATTCAAGTTATTTCATTTGAAAACGTTAACAAATATAGATCTTATTCGATGTAAAATGTGGCGTCCTTGGAGATCAAAACCCCGTTTAAATAGGGTTTGTCTACTTTCGTCTATTGCCGAACATTCTATAATCAAGGATTTTTACAAATCCTTGCTATAATATAATGAATCGCGTCGCCAATATCACCACAATTACATAAAGTACAAATACAATCTTCTCCTAAATATTTGGCATCTAACAATTACAATAGGAAATTTTGAGTCGAAACTGAAGTACCAAATCTACAAAAAGAATCACTATTTTTTGTAGTAGTAGGCGTTGGAAACTAAACTGTTTATAATCTTTTTTTTCTACTAAATTAATTGAAACTCCTGAAATAATTTAACATTATCTATAATATAGACAGCTTACATATGCAAATCTTTTTAGAAGTATGTGAGTGTATAGTAATAATTTGTTCATTAACCCCCCTTTTTCCTTCTATAAAATTACATTGTAATCGATTTTATTTCCAAATTTTTGTTTGCTAGGATTGACACTTAGAACGTTCAACAAAAAGTAACAAGTAAAAAGTCACGATTCAGTTTTGGGATATTTTTTTGAATAAACTTAATTTTAAAAACGTTTCAGTATTTTTCTGAAACATTTTTAAAAGGAAACGGACTTGTAAACAAAATTTATTTTTGATTATTAATATGAACAATGATTGTTAAGAAAACAACCTGCAAAAGTGGTTTGGTAATTAACTGAAGTCATGCTGTCAAAAATGTCTCCTTTTTACAAGTTATTGATAAAAAAAAACTATTTGAAGGCGAATTAATCATTTCCTCAACTAAATACATTTATCTATAAATAAAGTCAATTCATCAAGAACTTTCTCTCATATATTTAAACAATTGTAAAATAATTAATCTAAACCTTTGTCCTGCGACTTTCTGTCCGTTTACCAATACTTATTCCTTGTTAAGTTTTTTCATATCCATTTACGAATACTTATAACGTGATAATTAATTTTTCCGGATGCTTTTTATCTTATTTTCATATCAAACAACCATGTTACCCGTAGAACGGAGTTAAGTACAAATTTAGGAATTTAGTACTTAAAATTTTCAACAACACAATTTTACACTTTCATTTACCTGGATTTTTTTCTACGCTTCGAAGCCGCCACCCTGTATCAAACTTATCCAACACCTCGCATGGCGTATTCACGATGTGGAGGGATTGACAATATACAATCAAAGTTAGCAATATACAGCAAGTAAGTAATTTGGTGTTGAATGCCAGTAGATCTGAATTTGTAAATTTTTAAATTGAATTTAACCTGTTTAGAACGTGTATTGTTGAATTGTTCAATAAAATTACACACATAATCTGGGCTGATATGCATAAAACCACTTTAAGTTCAAGGTATCAATAAAACTGGGTCTGCATGAAAAAATGACTTATCACATAATACCAGAACCTATGTTTAGCCGATAAGAAAATATAGCTGTAGGCCTAGGTGAAAATCTTTACAAATTATTTATTCTTTTAATTTCTGTTTGACTGTCTGGGTGCTTCTTATGTGTTTTAAATGCTATAGTCAAGTTTTATATACTGTTGTACGTCATTTGGTCGTTTTTAAGTTTTTGCCATGGCGTTTGTCAGTATGTCTTCGACTTATACGTTTTATCAAGGATTTGTATAGTGAGATTGGTTTTATATAATCTGCATCTCTTGTGCTGTATTTTAAAATGTATTACAATTGCTGCACCTTTACACATTCATCAATACACCAAAAAATATGAATAAAGCTTTCGTATATATATAAATAAGGAGATGTGGTACGATTGGTAATGAAACAACTATCCGCCAGTTCAATTCAAAAACCTGATATAAGCAAATGTGACTTACTTACTTACTTTTGTCAGAGAGATCATGAATCTGAATTCAAGGATACGAAGTGGGAAGGGTTTAGAGGGGGATTAAGGTGAGGGCATGGGGGGCCGCCTCTTTTTTGGAAAAAAATTGGTTGATTATTTAGAGAATCAATGAAGCGGGCCCCCTCTTTATGCATGACAGTTAGTGCCTCCTTATGACATTTTTTGGATCCGCAACTGGTGAGGACTTCATAAAAAATTATTAAGTAAGTTTGTGTTTTGTGATAAATAATGTATTTAGACAGAAATAGGATAAAATAAACTACCGAAAGCTTTAGTATGGATGGGGGTTAACAGAATAGAGAATAACGGGCAAACAATAAAGATTAAAGAATAATGAAATGCTAAAATATGAGGAAAGAGAGTAATGAGCAAAAAGTGTAAGTTTGTAGAAATATAGCAAAAAAAAAATAAAGAACACAGAAAAAGAAGACCCCCCCAAGATCCTGACTTCAACTTTTACGCTGCTGGGATATTTTTTAGACAAAGTGCACGTATTAGTAGTCAGCCGAAACCACTAAGCGTTTTGCATCCATACGGGTTTTTTTTTCGGGATACTGACTGCATAGTAAACTATCAATGTACTAGTTAATGTTCTCGAGGGATGACCCTATTACAGAGACATATATACACATATGTGTAAATATGTCTCTGCCCTATTACGTGTCAGTAACCTCCTCGACACGGTTCATTTTTACGGCGGCTCAGTTTTGTCTTAAGAATAAACATAATTGATAAGTTTCTTTCCCCTGCATTTTTCGATCGCACTTGTAAATAGCACATTGGTCTCAATTAAGACATTGGTTACAACACTTGCCGTCAGTACTCAAAATTGGAAAAATATTAAATAAGAAGGTATAGAAAATTAAATTAATGCACACACACTATTATCAACCACAGACATGATGTTTTTCTCAATTTGCCTAAATTGTTATTCCGCAATACAACGAGGGTGAAAACCCACCACTTTGAACACAGTCACAGGCACCGGCATGCTGTGGACTTGTAAGTTTCCCAAATGAGTAACTATCCATGACTTTTCTAGTGTAAAGTTTTATTTAATACACATTTGATTTGAATGGCATATCAGAGAGATATATAAACATATATCATAGGCTGATCCGGGGGGGGGGGGGGGGCTTTCTTGGGAAAAATTTGGTTGATTATATAGGGATCACTGAAGCATGACTGGAGCCGGCCCTCCCTTATGAAAAGTTCTGGATCTGCCACTGTATATTCATAAAATAAACCAACAAATTATCCAAAAGATGAATAATACTTAATACTTATGACTAAGATTGATTATAAGTATACTTGAGTCGGTTTTACAAAAAAAAAAAACTTACAATTTATCGTAAGTATACTGTATTGTACATGACTTAATTACTATCAATATTATTTGTAAGTTTTTTTGTGAAACTGACTGCTGAATTGTTTTTCCATGCTTATGGTACATCTAAGTCGTATGCTTTTTTTAAAACCACCTCCAGGGTATAATGTCTGCTCGCCCATAGAATCTGTTTGTAGATATAGGAAGATGTGGTATGAGTGCCAATGAGACAACTCTCCATCCAAGTCACACAATTTATAAAAGTAAACCATTATAGGTCAAGGTATGGTCTTCAACACAGAGCTTGGTTTTTATCAAAAAAATGAAATATATTTATATTAATAGTCATGATAGTATACAGGTTAAATAATTTATTCATACATTTTTAATTGACTGACTAGAATTATCATGATTATTGAGGAATTTGAACCATTCCTATTTTTAAAAAGGGACAAAAATAAAATTTATATATAATAACAGGGTGATACAAATGAGAGAAATTGTTTTCAATTAAGATAAATACATGGTTTTCAGTTGATTTTTAAAGCAGAGGCAGATTTAGTTTAAAGTTGGAAAAAATTGTTTGTACCAACAAAAATAAATACAGAAAGTTAATCCAGAATTATGTGTTTATCATTTTTTTTTATGTTTAGGTTGCCAGCAAGATGAAAAGAACAATGCAGTTCAAAAGTCAAAATGTGGATAAGCTGCGGTACAAAGTCCAACTTTTGCAGATTTTCATATTTTGCATGAATGAATTTGAAGTTTATATCCTGGAGGGCAGAGAAAGAAAAGAAACACTTCAGTTTTCCTGCTTCTGAAGGATAAATGTAAAACATCTTGTTTGGTAAGTTTTATGCTCTGTTATGATAGTGTTTGTGCATCCATCTGTCGTTCTCTAAATTGTATTCACTTTAAGTTTTTGGTTACAGTTCACCATGAACTTCAGTTAGTAACTTGTGGTTTTACATGTATATACTCAAAATTTAGTACTTTAAAATGTTCATGTATTTTTGTCGAGCCTGCAACTTTTGTCGCAGAAAGCTCGACATAGGGATATTGATCCGGTGGCGGCTATGGCGGTGGCGTTAGCAGTGGGCGTTAGCTAACTTCCTAAAAGCTTTATATTTTAGAAGGTGGAAGACCTGGATGCTTCATACTTTGTATATAGATGCCTCATGATACGAATTCTGTCTGAAACATGTCCATTGTCCTTGACCTCATTTTCATGGTTCAGTGACTACTTGAAAAAAAAGTTCAGATTTTTTGTAATGTTAATTTCTCTCATATTATTAGTAATCGGATAACTATATTTGGTATGTTCGTACCTTGCAATGTCATCATGCTCGTCAGAGAGTTTTCACTTGACCTAGACCTCATTTCATGGATCAGTGAACAAGAACTTAGTCTTAGATGCATGATTTTTTTTATTAGTTGTTAGTGGCTTTGTACTAGCTGTCAGTAACTGCGAGTACTCTCAGATCTGTACTTAGTGTCTTTTTGTTGTTTGGATGTACAAGTACCCGGCCACGTCCACTTGTATTTGAAGTATTTGTATTTTTATCCATCTGATGAGTTAAGCCTCTTTCAACTGATTTTTTTGCGGTCGTATATTGGTATGATGTTGTCGTCGGTGTCGTCGTCGTCCGAAGACACATTGGTTTTCGCACTCTAACTTTAGTTCAAGTGAATGGATCTCTATGAAATTTTACCATAAGGTTCAATACCACAAAAGAAAGGTTGGGATTGATTTTGGGGGTTATGGTACCAACAGTTAAGGAATTAGGGGCCAAAAAGGGGCCAAAAATAAGCATTTTTCTAGTTTCCAGACAATAACTTGTGTTCAAGTGTATGGATCTCTCTGAAATTGTACTGCAAGGTACCATACCACAAAGGGAAGGCTGGGATTGATTTTGGGGGCAATTGCTTTAAAATTTTAGGAATTAGGGGCCAAAAAAGGGGCAAAAAACAAGCATTTTTCTATTTTCATGACAATAACTTGTGTGTAAGTGTATGGATCTTTCTGAATTTGTACTACAAGGTTCCATATCACAAAGAGAAAGCTGGAATTGAGTTTGGGGGTAATTGCCCAAAACGTTTAGGAAAAAGGGGCCAAAAATAAGCATTTTTCTAGTTTCCAGACAATAACTTGTGTTCAAGTGTATGGATCTCTCTGAAATTGTACTGCAAGGTACCATACTACTAAGGGAAGGCTGGGATTGATTTTGGGGGTAATTGCCTCAAAATTTTAGGAATTAGGGGCTCTTGTGTAGAATTGTTGTCTCATGGCAATCATACCACATCTTCTTTTTTATATTTAAGGTTAAGTTTTGGTGGTCAAGTCCATATCTCAAATACTTTAAGCAATAGGTCTAGTATATTCTGTGTATGGAAGGACTGTAAGGTGTACATGACCAACTGGCAGGTGTCATCTGACCTTGACCTCATTTTCATGGTTCAGTGTATGAATCATTATTGAAGGCCGTACGGTGACCTATAGTTGTTAATTTCTGTGTCATTTGGTCTCTTGTGTAGAATTGTTGTCTCATTGGCAATCATACCACATCTTCTTTTTTATATTTAAGGTTAAGTTTTGGTGGTCAAGTCCATATCTCAGATACTTTAAGCAATAGGTCTAGTATATTCGGTGTATGGAAGGACTGTAAGGTGTACATGACCAACTGGCAAGTGTCATCTGACCTTGACCTCATTTTCATGGTTCAGTGTATGAATCTCTCTGAAATTGTACTGCAAGGTACCATACCACAAAGGGAAGGCTGTTATTGAGTTTTGGGGTGATGAATCATAAGGGGGTTCAAAAAATTGGGGGGGGATTTTTTTTCCTTTTTTTTTTCCTTTTTAAATTTTCCATTTTAAATTGGTTATTTCTGATTTATATATAAAAGCAAATAATTATGATATGGTTTGAATAGGTAAATTAAAATTTTTTAAGTTCTTAGACCACATTCCTTTTGTGTCAGAAACCTATGCTGTGTTAAATATTTTATCACAATCCAAATTCAGTGCTGTATCAAGCTTGAATGTTGTGTCCATACTTGCCTCAACTGTTCAGGGTTCGACCTCTGCGGTCGTATCAAGCTGCGCCCAGCGGAGCATTTTATTATTGTTCGTTCTTATGTTGTACTGTTACACCACTGTCCCGGGTTAGGGGGAGGGTTTGGATCCTGCTAACATGTTTAACCCCGCCACATTCTGTATGTATGTGCCTGTCCCAAGTCAGGAGCCTGTAATTCAGTGGTTGTCGTTTGTTTATGTGTTACATATTTGTTTTTCATTCATTTTTTGTACATAAATTAGGCCGTTAGTTTTTCGTTTGAATTGTTTTACATTGTCATTTCGGGGCCTTTTATAGCTGACTGTGCGGTATGGGCTTTGCTCATTGTTGAAGGCCGTATGGTGACCTATAGTTGTTAATTTCTGTGTCATTTGGTCTCTTGTGTAGAATTGTTGTCTCATTGGCAATCATACCACATCTTCTTTTTTATATTTAAGGTTAAGTTTTGGTGGTCAAGTCCATATCTCAGATACTTTAAGCAATAGGTCTAGTATATTCGGTGTATCGAAGGACTGTAAGGTGTACATGACCAACTGGCAGGTGTCATCTGACCTTGACCTCATTTTCATGGTTCAGTAGTTATAGTTAAGTTTTTGTGTTTTGGTCTGTTTTTCTTATACTGTATGCAATAGGTCTACTATATTTGGTGTATGGAATGATTGTAAGGTGTACATGTCTAGCTGGCAGGTGTCATCTGACCATGACCTCATTTTCATGGTTCAGTAGTCAAAGTTAAATTTTTGAGTTTTGGTCTTTTTCTCTAACACTAAATGCAATAGGTCAACTATATTTGGTGTATGGAAACATTTTATGATGTACATGTCAGTCCCGCAGGTTTAATTTGACCTTGACCTTATTTTCACGGTTCATTGCTCAGTGTTTAGTGTTTGTGTTTTGGTCTGTTTTTCTTAATCTATAAGCAATAGGTCAACTATATGTGTTGTATGGAAGGATTGTAAGCTGTACATGTCTGCCTGGCATGGTTCATCTGATCTTCACCTCATTTCCATGGTTCATTGGTCAATGTTTAGTTTTCTTGGTTAAGTCTGCTTCTTAGAAACTATAAGCAATACCGGTAGTTCAACTGTATTTAGTAATTTGAATGATTGTAAGGTGTACATATATTTCTTGTCAGGTTTATATGACCTTGAATTCCTTTTCTTGGATCATGTTGAGTTTATGTGATAGTTGTAGTAAAGCTTTATATTTAGGACTATCAACATGATATCAATGATTAGTAAAGAAGGCGCAACATTTCAGTGTGTGCACTCTTGTGTATACATTAAACACCACATTTACTGTTTTTACCCTGATTTTATGGATCACTGAACATAGAAATGTCATAATGTGAAATTATAGTACATTCTTAGGTTAAAGTTTTAGGTTAAGGTACATAGCTTACCATGAAGTTGAATTTCATGCACATGCTCATTATGTGGTGAATTTTTAAATTCAGTGCCAAAATAAGATTTTGAGCCTGATTACATGATTGACTAGACATTGACACATGCTAGTGTTTGCCAGGCATTGTGTCCTGTACTAGGAATTTGTCCTGTACTAAGAACTTTAATAGTACTCGCTGAGTATGGAGTTTTTGTGAAAGTTTAATATTAGTGACATTTTTGCATGACATCCTGTCAACTGCTTGTTGATCATGTTTATACATGTCTTAAAATTAATATCTGACACAATGGTGTTTGGTGAACTTGGAAATAAGTTATTTGATAGAATAATAATGTTTTGAGATTCTCAAAATAAAAAATATCCCATTTTTACTACATTGTGTATTAATGATTAAGTATATAAAAAAGAAGATTTAGGATATATGTATAACCATATATAAAAATGAGACAGCACCCGAACAACACAAAAATAAGAAAAAAAAACCAATATAATTTTTTGTATCAATGTTATAATTTCCAACATGTCCAAAGAGTTCAATGTATTTTCTAATTGAAATAAAACACAAGTGGAACTCTTTCAGAACTTCAGAAGCTTAAAGAAGTGCTGTTTCTATTGTTGGCTTTCTGTATAATATATTGCAAATTCTTGTGAAAAATGGAATTTTATTGTAATTGCCTAAAGTTTTAACATTGATCTATATATATATAACTGGGGAAAATACCCAAATGTTATAAAGAAGAATACATAAATTGATTGTTATATAATATTAGAATAGGAAGATGTGGTATATTGCTAATTTGACAACTGTCCATCAGAGACCAAAGGATGTAGGAGGTTAGCAACTGATGACACTGGACAACCTTCAACAATCAGTAAAATCCATACCGCATAGCTATTTTTATTGAAAATCATATGTTCTTGCTACATGTATGTATACAATTTTTTTTTATCCATAACTTCGGATATTATTGGTTCTTTTTCAGAAGGATTGGAATTCATCACTGAGAATAGAAGGAGAAAACACAGAAACAAGACCAAAATAAATTCAAAGACAAAAGTCAGATCAGTTATTATTTTCATCACTCAGCCAATGAATTGCAGTTCTATTAAATATCTAAAGATATTAAAACCACAATAATGACAATGTTCTGTGCTGAATGGCAAAAAAGTGGACTATACATTACGATCACACAATGCTGGATGATAAGAAACTATTAATTTTTTGGGTGGAGGGATATCCTGAAAAAAAAATAGATTTATGTAAAAAGCTACTAGTATGTTAAGCCTATTAATAGAGTTTTCATTGATTTCAAATGGGAAAAAATTGTGTTTCAAAAAAGTGTTCTAGAATTCATAAATAAACATATATTGATACTTACATTATCTGCTTTGTTGTTTAAAAGTTTAGTTTTGAACAGTTATAGAACAATATAATTGCATTAACATTTCCAAGGAAAAAAAAGATATTCAACTAAAAAGATTCATCTTAAAACAATTTACTACCAAACAGAATTCATTGTAACATACACATTTATTTACTGTATATTTATAATTTGAATCATAGGATTTTATTTTGTCCCATGGGATATTAAAAATCCCATGGGATAATTATAGTCCCATGGGATTTTTTTTGTCCCATGGGACAACAAATATCCCATGGGACTACAATTATCCCATGGGACCCAAAAAAATCCCATGGGATTTAACCAAAATCCCATGGGATAATGGTCAATCCCATGGGATTTGCCTTATCCCATGGGATATTGAAAATCCCATGTTTTTCTAAATCAAATTACAAAATATATATAATAATAACAGCAGAAAAGCAATGAAATTATTGAATCCCATGTAATTCCGCACATTTTGGTTATTTACACGACACTGTAGGTCTAAGGAGAGGCGGCGGCGGATTTGCAAATGAGTGTTTTGCAAATTAAAAGTGTCCAGTGTTTTAATACACAAAACGTTCACAGTATATGTCAATAGATATAGTGTTCGCTCCAAAAAGTAAAATCTACGGAAACGTCGCCATGCGACGTCCACAAAAAGTCATCGTTTAAAGATGGGTAATTAAAATATGTTACAAGCATCCATTTCTTTAAAAACGAATAGTAAGCATGGACTATAACAAATTGTTCTAAATATTCAAAGAAATAAAACAATTATTAGTTATTCGATTTTTACGGATGTGAATTTAAGCATGAATGCAATTTGGTTCTCCTCATTACAGAATCATGGATCGTTTGGAGGTCGATTCAAACACATTTTTCTATGATTCAATATGGCCTTCAAAATTAGATTGGCGGAACTGTATATATATACCCTTTAAACAGACCTTCAAATTCAACTAAAAAGCCTCGAAACCGTAGATTTCGAAGAAAAACTCAAATTCCGGTCAATCCCAACAACACGGTTGTCAATTTGTCAAAAGTCTCTTTAACTGGGGATGAAATTAAAGTCTTGTCTAAGGGTTTGAATTTTTGCCCTACGCCCAGTAATATAGATAATATGAAACTGGAAGATGACCTGAATAATTTTGCCAGAACCCTCAGAATTAAAGAATACTTTGGTAACAAGGATAATGAGGAGGATAATGAGGAAGACTCAGACACGTCCGACTCGGATGGAGAAATCAGAATTCCGCGCTTTAAAAGGAAGAGTTCATGGATTCCTAACCCCAGCAAATCTGCTACACTGGAAGACGTTATCGACAAAATCAAATCGGATGTTGTTCATCTAGCTAACAACAAGTACTCGTCGTTTTATAACACCTTTTCTGAGGAGAAAAAAGCCATACAATCGCTGAGAAACCGAGATGATATTGTGATAAAACCAGCAGACAAGGGAAGTGCCGTTGTGATAATGGACAAAGCTAACTACATCGCAGAAGCATAGCGTCAGCTCTCTGATGAGAGATTTTATAAGAAGCTTGACCATGACCCTACTTCTGAGTTTAGTTCCAAAATTATTACTGCGTTACAAACCGTGCACAATGACGGTCACATAGATGAGGATACATTCGGATATTTAAAACCAGAGAACGCCAAGCCTGATCGACTGTATCTTCTCCCCAAAATACACAAGGTTAACAACCCTGGTAGACCCATTGTATCCGCAAACGGCCACCCGACTGAGAAAATCTCGGAATTCGTTGAAGACCCATTGGTGGCCTTCGGCTGTTATCTGCTCTTTGGTCGGGTTGTTGTCTCTCTGACATATTCCCCATTTCCATTCTCAATTTTATTTCATTTAAGATCTCATGTAGAAAATCTTCCTTCTCACATTCAAGACACCACAGACTACCTTCGTAAAATGGAATCCATGAACCCTTTTCCTCCGGAAACTCCTTATCACTCTAGATGTCACCTCATTGTATACCAACATACCTCATGATGACGGAATACAATCGTGTAGGGAAATGTGGGACTCGCGCAACACTTTAGAACCACCTACCGAATGTTTAGTCCAGCTTCTTACTCTGGTTCTGAAATGCATCAATTTCATCTTTAATGGTGAACATTACCTTCAGATAAACGGGACAGCGATGGGGACGAAAATGGCACTGTCTTACGCCAATATTTTCATGGGCAAATTAGAGAAACAAATCATTTCAACATCTTTATCAAAACCTCTGTCTTGGTTCCGTTTCATCGGTGATGTTGACATGAAATGGATTGAATCCCAACTTAAACTAGATGATTTCATCAGACATGCAAACAACGCCCACCAGTCAATTAAATTTACATATGAAATTTCCGACTCTAAAATATCTTTCTTAGACACAACTACAAATATAAAGGACGGTGTCATATCAACCGACCTCTACTGTAAACCTACAGATAAACATCAGTACCTTTCTCCCCAAAGCTGTCACCCAAAGCATGCACTGTACAAAAAGTATCCCCTATAGTCAAGCTCTCAGAGTAAAGCGGATTTGCTCCTCTGAGGAGGCTGTCAAACGGTTACAGGAACTTCGCGGATTTTTGACCAAACGAGGTTATAAGAAATGGTACATAGGTAAGGGATTTGCACGTGCTAATAATAACAGCCGCAAAGACCTATTACAATACAAACAGAAGAGGCGCAGCAAAATAGTTCCATTTGTTTTAACATACAATCCCGTCTTTACTAACCTTTCACGTTTGATCCATGCCAATTGGCAAACTATTGCCAAGCACCCTAAATTATCCAAGATCTTTCCCAAACCTCCTGTCTTAGCTTTTCGGAGACCAGCAAGTCTGAAAGACTTATTTGTGAGAGCTGATGTCTCCTCTAATAAAAGCTGTTCAACTGCAGGATGGTGCAAGTCGTTTGGTAACAGACGATGTCTGACTTGCCAACAAATACTGAATACTCAAACATTTACTTGCCACTTGTCTGTGTACACTATATTTTGCAATGTAATTTGCAAAACCCAGAATGTTGTATACCTTCTTCAGTGTCGATGTGGCATGCAGTATGTTGGCGAGACAGAACAGCCATTCAACAAACGCATGAATGGTCATCGAAGTGACTACACCTGCAAGCCCGACCTCCCCGTAAGTCGTCATTTGAGATCACCTGGGCACGCCCAAGCTGATCTCAAAAACCTTACCATCACTATCATAGACCACAACGAGGGTTGGTCAAGGGCCGACAGACTTGCTCGGGAAAGGTTTTGGATAAGAAAGCTTAGGACAGTTTCCCCAGAGGGCATAAATGAAAAAAACATAGAATGTGTCACTCATTTTCCCTACCATCACTTGTTTCCAGTAACTCAGGCTTCCGTTTTGGACTCTTACAGTTTTAATAAATTTATTCCTCCTCCCAAACATCAATATTGAAAAAAATTACCAGCGTATTGATTATTGATAATTTGTATAGCATTCAAGATTTTTATTTCAGTTTGTCTACCACATGTCAAGATAAGATTCATTTTACATCTTACTGATGAAGGATATTAGTTATCCGAAATATCTAAAATTTGTTCATGATTTAATTATTTTTTGGTGATGTTGTACCCTTTTAGAATTGTTATATATTATATTTTGTAGTGTACTGTATCATAATTTTATGATCCATCGCCCCGTAAGATTTATCGTTGGCTATTATTCAGTCATTTAATATTTTATAGTAAATAATGATACACATACAAAATAAACACAGAACGGAAACTTTTGTCTGGATCATAAATAAACGTAGGTGAAAAAACTGTCAAAATACGGGTGCAATTTGGGTACCCTCACATCAGCGGAATCAGAAGAATCATGAGAATTATGATGATTTTTAGGTTTAATACATATTTTTACACCTCAAATGTACTTAAAAAATTCCTATGGATACAATGTTAAACTTCATATGATGAACTTAATTTGTTCTCTATTAACATGATTAAATATTTCAACCACCTGAACATACCTTAGCACCTGATTTACGTAAAGTTACTTGGAACAAAATATTGTTGCATGCCTTCAAAATATAACGTTGTCATTTTTAACCCAGGATTAAAATTTAACCATTTAATAATTTTTTTAACCAGTTACACGTACCAGCGGATTTATACATATCAAAACCTATAAGAGTAAAATTTTAAAATAATCAAACAGGTTCTGAAAATTATATTGTTTTCGAAATATTCGAAGATAGGGGAACGTACTCTTATGTTGACCAACTTGCTAAATCTACGTCATTGGGTATCTGGTGGATTGTTGTCTTATTGGCAATCATACCACATTTCAGATCTTATTTGCTAGATTACTATGAAATCTGATTGGTCTTTTATATCTAAATTAAGAATATGCGCTCATAACCTAGCCATTTAAGTATATAAAACATATCCAACTCTTTTTACTAGACAGAATTTAAATTGAAGTATCATATTGCGTCGGTATGCTATTCTATATATTTTGATCTATTTTTATTGAAACCAATGTTAACATTTGTGATATTATAATGGATTGTGCTAAGTAATAATGTAGATGTTAATCCTGGTCCTTTAGATAGAATTTTCTACATTTTCACATAAACATTAGAAGTATGCGTAATAAAGTAGACTATTGAAACAGTGGCGGATCCAGAGGGGGGTTCCGGGGGTTGGAACCCCCCTTTTTTCTTGACGATCAATGCATTTGAATGGGGACATATAGTTGGAACCCCCCCCTATTTCCTGGGTTGGGAAACACCCCTTTTAAAAATGGCTGGATCCGCCCCTGTGAAACGAAGACGACGGTGTGATTTGTTTAACCGAAACTCATCTTGACGAAAATATACAAAATGAAGATATTATCATTGAGGGTTATAATAGAGATCATTATAGAAAGTCTATCACAATAGCTCAAGGGAATTATAATTTATATCAGTAAATTTAGTCAAGCCAAACCAAGACCTGATTTGGATTTTAA